TGCTGAGATCACAGGCATGCGCCACCACACCTGGTATATAACCTCAAATTTTGCAAAGCAAATAGTGTCATAACTTTAAGCAAAGCTAGACAAACTTGGAATCATACTTAATGACTTTAATATACCATTTTTAGCAAGTGAAAAAAGTTATTTAAGCAGAAAAAAATCAAGACTAATGCATATTTAAATGAGATGAGTAATGTACTTGACCTAATTAACAAATATAGACATTTCCACATTCCATATATCCATATACGTATATTTGTGTGTGTATAGGGGGGTTGGGGGTCAAACCCAGGGCCTTTCACATGCCACACAAGTGCTCTACCACTAAGCTACACCCACAGCCCTATATATTTTTTAAATATATACAACATGTTTTTAGAAAGTCACCATATGTTAGGCTAAAAAGAATTTAAATCACAATGTATGGTCCCTGCCCACAACAGAATTAAGCTAGAAATCCATACCACAAAGACAATTGCTGTAATTGCCTCTTCTGTGGAAGTTACTAAATATGTGTCTAAACAGGGGTAGGGGAGGTTCTGGAAGACGTAGCAAGGCCTTTGCTTTCCCAATGTTCCGTGTAGAAGGGAGCAGTGTGTATCTGTAGATATTTCCAGGACATATTTGCTGAGGGGGAGGGAATGAGAGAGAATGTAATTAGTCTCTAGAGAAACTTGCAGAAGCAAAATTGAAAGCAGGTTATGGTCATCGGGGATAAAAGTGTACTTGTTACCATTTCTGGAGGACACAGTTGTAAAATGCCATTGATACTTTCCAGACAATACAAGGCCAAAGCAAAGAGGAAGATCAAGCAGCCTTAGATGAGACAGCAGTCGCCAGTGACCACATTCCCACTCAACTGGACTTTCCAAATGGAGACCATTCCTGTGGCCAGTGAGCTGGCTGGCTGAATAAGAGAGCTGAAGCCCAGATCTGTGGCACACACCTGCAATCTCTGTTACTTGGGATACTGGGGCAGGAGGATTGCTAGTTCAAGCCCAGATTGGGTAAAACTTAGTGAGATTTTTGTCTCACAGTAAATTGCTGGAGATGTAGCTCTGTGGTAGAGTGCCCCTGGGTTTGTTTGGTTGGTTGGTTTTGGTGTTTTGAGACAGGGTCTCACTGTGTAGTTCAGGGTGGCCTTGAACTCACTTTGTAGCCTAGGCTGGCCTCAAACTCTCATCAATCCTCCTGCCTCAGCCTCCAGAGTACTGGGATTACAGGTGTGCACCACCATGCCCAGATGTGCCCTGGGTTTGACCTGAACTGTGAATCTGCTTGTTTTTATTATTTCTCCTTACATCTCACCTCTTTGTTTCCATCCATACGATATTTCATCAAGACTGACAGCTTGGCAGGTGGCTCTAGGAAGTATTGTCTATGCTCTTAAATTTTGAATGTGTATAATTTTTATTAGTAAAATAACCCATTGATTTAAAAGATGCTATAATCCTAAATCATGATACATCAACTTGACAGATGAAGAAACTCGTGGGGCCTTAGCAAAGCACTCTCCTGGGTGTGTCTGTGGATGCCTGGCTGTAGGCCAGTGAATTGAGGGGAGACCAGCCCGGGCGGTGTTTGGCGCCACCAACAGGCTTCAACCTGGATGGAGTAAAAGTGGGAGGAAGAAGGAAGTGTGTTTGTTACTGAAGAGCTCCAGCCTTCCCATCTCATTTCCACAGCCCTCTCCAGTTTTTCAGCTTCCAGCACAAACTCGCAAAGCAGACTCCAGGGAGCTTCCAAGCTCCTGACCTCGGGCTGGCACTGCATCCCTGTCCTCTTGTTTCATCTCCCTGGGCTGAGCAGCTCCTGGATCCTGGTGTGCAGATAGCCATTGGACTCTGCCGCCTCTCCGGTCTTGTAAGCTACCTAATAAATCCCCTTCTGTAACTATATATGTGTTTTCTGTTGCTTCTGCACTTCTACAGAACCCTGATATGGCTTAGAGCAATACAAATTAATTTGCTGAATGTACATGCTTGTATTTCCCATCTTTTACTATGGGACTAGTTTTAAAAAGCAGTTTTATGAAACCACGAGATATTTAAGTTCCTGTATCTGATTTACAGTGGTAGCTCTGTTCACAAACTTAATTTGTTCCACGATTTTGGAAAAGGTGGGCATGTTTGTGTTCCTATGGGAAAGATGGCCACGGTCATGTTTGTTACCCAGTGTGGAGTTTGGAAACAAAAACAAAATTTTGCCAAATGCTTTTATGAACCACGTTGTTCTCGAACAAAAGAACTTGTGAACTGAGGTACCACTGTATTTTACTTAACATTATGATTGCAAGGTGAATCCATTTTCCTAAAAATGACTCCTGTATCCTTCTTTATATTACAGTAGTACTTCACTGTGTATAAACACCATATTTTCTTTATCCATTCATCTACCAAGGGACATATAGGCAACTTCCAAGATTTAGCTATTGTGAATTGTGGTGCTATAAGCATGGGCATGCATGGATCACTGTAATATGATGACTAACTCAGGAAAATACTGAGGAGGGTAATAGGTCAAATGGAATTTCTTGTTTTCGTTTTTTGAGGAATCTTCACACTAATTTCCATAATGGTTATACTAGTTTACATTCCAACCAGCAGTGATAAAGGGTTCCTTTTCCCTGAAGCCCGCCCGGCATTTGTTGTTATGTGATTTCTTGATCATGACCATTCTTTTTGGAGTAAGATGGCATCTCAGTGTTGTTTTAATTTGTATTTCTGTAATGGCAAAAGATGTTGATGTTACTGGTATAGAGGAAAGCTATTGATTTTCATGTGTTGACTTTGTATCTTGCTACTGCACTGAATATAGTTATTATTTTAGGAGACTTTTAGTGGATATTTTTGGATCTTCTATGTAGAAGATCATGTCATCTGCAAATAATGATAATTTGACTTCTTACTTTCTTACACATATTTCTTTTATTTCTTTCTCTTTCCTAAATTGTTTTGACTAATGTTTCAAGATCTATTTTGAACAGTACTGGTGACAGCAACATCCTTTCCTTGTTTCTGATTTTAGGGGAAAGCTTTTACTTATTTCCACTTAATATGATGTTGGTCATTGGTTTGTCATAAATGGCATTTATCAGATTCAGATACACCTATTCTCTTCAGGGTTTTTTTTTTATCATGAATAGTTGATAGATTTTGTCAAAGACTTTTTCTTTTGGTACCGGGGATCAAACTCAGGACTTTGAGCCTGTGAGGCAGGCGGCGGAACCACTGAGCTAAATCCGCGGCCCTCAGAGACTTTTTTCTATGTCAGTTGGCATGATTGTGTGATTTTTGTTCTTGCTTCTGTCCTTGCTTCTGTTTATGTGATGTATTACACTTATTGATTTGCATATTTTGAACCATCCTTGCATCCCTGGGATGAATCCTTCTTAGTCAGGATGTATGATCTTTTTGATGGTTTGTTGCACCCTGTTTGCCAGTATCTTGCTCAGGATTTTTGCGTCAGTGCTTATTAAAGAGATTTCCCTTCAGTTCCCTTTTTTGGATGAGTCCTTTTCCGGTTTTGGAATCAGAGTAATACTAGTTTCCAAGAATGACTTTGGGAGTACTACTTCGTTTTTATTTCATTAAAGAGTTTGAGGAGGATTTGCATTAGATCTTGCCTGAAGTTCTTGTAGAATTTACCAGTGAATCCATCCAGACCTGGCCTTTTCTTAGTTGGTAGTTGTTTTTTTTTTATTACTTCTTTATTTTCATTGAGTGATATTGGATTATTTGGGGTTTTTATGGCTTCAGTTTTGGTAGTTCATATGTATCTAGGAATCCATTCATATCTTCAGAATTCTTCATTTTATTAGAATACTGGCTCTCAAAGTAGTTACTAATAATCTTCTGGATTTTAGCAGAGTCTGTTGTGATTTCACCTTTTTCATTTCTAGTTGGACGGATTTAGGGTCCCCCCTCCTTTACTTTAGTTTTTTGAGACAGGGTTTCACTGTGTAGTCTAAGCTAATCTTGAACTCACTGTGTAGTCCAGCCTGGCCTTGAACTCATGGCCATCCTCCTCCCTCACCTCTCTAATGCTGGGATTACAGGCATATGCCACCACAGCTGGCTATATTCTGATTTTTATAATTTCCTTCCCTGTACTAACTTGGGATTTGGATTATTCTTATTTTTCTAGGGCATTGAGGTGCAGTATTAAGTTATTGTGGACATTCACAACTAGAAACTTCCCTCTTAGGACTGCTTTCAATGTGTCCCATAGGTTCTAGTATATTGTACCAGCATTATCATTTGATTCGAATAACTGTCTAATTTCATCCTTGATTTCTTCTGTGACTCATTGATTATTCAAGAGGATATTGTTTCATTTCCTTGTGTCTGTATAATTTCTGTTGTTTGTTTGCCATTGATTTCTAGTTTCATTGCACTATGATTTGATAGTGCATGAGATAATTTTGTTTGTTTGCACTTATTTAAGCATGCTTTATGGGCTACCATGTGATCTGTTTTGGAGACCATCCCATGTGCTGCTGAGAATCTGTATTCTGTTGTTAGATGAAACACTGTAGATATCTATTAAGTCCATTTGTTCAAAGTTTTGGTTCAACTCTGATATTTTATTGTTGATTGTTTTTCTAGTTGATCTGTCTATTTGAAACAGTGGGTGTGGAGAGCGGTGTTAGCCATAGAGGCTCCATGTTAAATCTTACCCTCCATTGTATAGAGCAAGGAGACTATGTTACAAGGAACTGCGTCCTTGCCAAATTAGATGCTTACCTTTGGAGACTGTCCTGGAACATGATGAACGTTTTGTAAGCCCGAGAAACGGGAGGGCCCATGAGGGTGGGGAATTTCCAAAGAACTAGAGAACAAGGAAGCAGGTGTCTTTGAGTAAGGGTCATGATTAATAACCAAGCTCACCGGTGAATAAAAGGAGGAGAGTGAAAAGCATGGCGGTTCTCTCTCTCTCTCTCCCTCT